TCCCTCTCAGACAACAGTCCCCCCTCCACCAGAGTCCCCGCGGCGGCTTCATCCCCGACAGGACACAGACACCCGCGCTGGATTCCAGGTTTTTCCCTTCATCCCAATTCCCGTCCTCTCCTTCTTCCACCCCTCCCCACTCTCCAGTGCCTCCAGCCAGCTGTCCAGCTCCCAAATTCCGGCCAAGAGTCCCGGGAACAAAGCAAGAAAAATCAGAGTAATTTGGGAAGTAAACAGAAACTGGGAAGGGAGTGGGCAGAGAAAAGTGGGGAGGACCAGGTGGGGGCGGGGGGAGCCTCTTCAGTCCCACCCAGTTTAGGGAATGCCCCTGCCTTCTCCCCCCACCCCCCTTCACCTGGCTCTTAAAGGGCCCGGCCCCTGACCGGCGGCTACTTAAGGCGGAGGGGCGGCGGCGGGCAGCAGCTGTGCTACGACTGCGCTGGGAGGAGTGGACGGGGCAAAAATCCTGACCATGACCCCCCACAGGCTGCTCCCGCTCCTGCTGCTGCTAACCCTGCTGCTCGCTGCCCGCTCAGGAGCCGCCTTGGCACGGTGCCCAGGCTGCGGGCAGGGGGTGCAGGCGGGTTGTCCAGGGGGCTGCGTGGAGGAGGAGGGGGGGCCGCCGGCGGAGGGCTGTAAGGAAGCTGGGGGCTGTCTCAGGAGGGAGGGGCAGCAGTGCGGGGTCTACACCCCTAACTGCGCCCCAGGACTGCAGTGCCAGCCGCCCGAGGAAGATGAGGCGCCTTTGCGGGCGCTGCTGCTGGGCCGGGGCCGCTGCCGCCGGGCGCGCGCGCCCTCGGGTGAGTCCGCGCCCCGCCCCTGCTCCACCCACGTGAGACCCGCAAAGCGGCCGGCAGGGTCCTGGAAAGGACGCGGGCAGCCCTGCGAGCCCTGCGATGGGTTCTGCCATTGATGCTTCCCCTTCCTAACCCTGGGCGTCACGTTTGCGGGGGGGGGGGGGGGGGGGAATGACGGGGCAAGGGCGGGGAGCCGCTAGAAGGCCGGGGTGCAGCTAGGGGCCCCTGGGGATAAAGCAGGGACATGTCCCAGCGGTCAACCTTTTCGGCCCCTTCTATTTCCTCTTGAGGGGAAAGGTGAGGGTGGAGGGTTTAGGGCCATGCCGTCTGCCACAGCATCCCAGCTCCTTCCCTGGACCCCGGAGCTGGAGAAAGGACCCAGGTGTTGTTCTCAGCTTCCATTTGGAGAAAGAGGGAAGGGAACCCCGACTCCCAAATTGTGCACACACACTGAGAAATATCCCCTCCTCTCCTCTTAATATCAGGGTGTCCAAAGCACCTGAACATAGGGCCTAGAACAGAAGATGTCCCAAATCCTGAATTGTGTCAGACTACACTGGGGTCAGAGGGCAGACTCTGGGGGCCTCAAGAGGATGGGATAGAGGTGGGAAAAGAAGGAATCTGCCAAATCAGGGTTATGCTTTAAAGCTGCTCAGAACCCTCCACCCACCCTACCCCACCCTACCCTAGGGAGGAAAATAGAAGGCTGAGTCATTGGGTGGATGGGACAGAAGTGAGTCAGAACCCAAAAGATGGGGGGCAGCAGGGAGAGATAGGGCAGGAAATAAAAGCAGCGCACTCCCTCCCCCCAACCAGGCATCTGATCTCCTGGTTTCTTCCACGGAAAGGGATGAGAAATTAACTTGGAATTTCTTTCAGTCCCAAACGCCTGGGTCCAAGCTGCTAGAGGGTCCTCATAGGAAGGGGTGTGTAGGTGGGTCAGAGGAGGCAGTGGGAGCATGGTCGTGGAGGGAATGAGAGGCAAGGTCTGAGAAAGGTGGAGGAAGAAGGATGCGAGTCGCGATTGCAGAGGAAATTGCTCTTGGGTTGCAGGTAGTAGGCAGGTGGGAGCAAATGTCTAGGTCTGAGGACTGGGGACTTGAGCAGAGCTTGTCTTTGGGCATGGAAAGGGAGAGACGATCCCTTTAGGGGCCATAATATCTCATTTTACACCTGGGGCGATTTGCAGGCAGTGCACCCTCTCCTCCCTGCCTTTCCCTTGCCCTGACGCCCTGATTTATTTCCTCACTTCCTCCCATCCTGAGCTCTCCCTAGGCCCCCCAGACACCACGTGTGACATTTTCTCCAGAGCCAAGAGCAGCCTGTAGGTCAGAAGCCCTTCATTCCCTGCATCTTTGCAACCTGCCCTCTGCCTGTCCTGGTTAAGGGCTGAATCGTACCTGCTCCTGGGACCACTGGGGTTGAGCTAGGCTGAGCTATGGGAGACCAGAAGGGAGAGGCCCCCGATGCAAGCGCCCCTAAAGTAACCATGTCTACAGCCGGGGAGGGGGTGGGCTGAGTCACCGCAGGGGCAGGGTCACAGCGGGGACACACATTCCACTCGGGTCCCTGCTAACCCCCTCCCATACCCCTCGTTCTTCTGCCTCATCTCCCTGGCTTGGTGCACCCCCTGCTGGCTCCAGGGGGAACAGCCGGGTCTTTTCTCCCCAAGCCCAAGGCCTCCCAATGTACTTGTACTCGTCCTAGGTTTTTGCTTTCCAAAGTGCTTCTCCCTTATAAGCCTTAAAACTAGTCTGGGTTTTTTTTTTTTTTTTTTTTTTTTGTCAGGAAAGCTAATATCACCATTTGTCAGAGAAAGTAACTGAAGCCAAGAGAAGGTAACGGAGCCAGGTTCTAACCACCCTCACTTCTCCTACTTGGAAAGCCCCTCCCTTCCTCCCGCTTCAGGGAGTCAAGGTGAACAGGGCTCTCTTCCGTTTGGTTCTGGTCTTTGACATCTGGCTGATTTCTGGACTCTTCTTCCCCCATTTCCCTTGTGGCTGTAGGGGAGAATCCTAAGGAGGGTAAATCCCAGGCAGGGACCACTCGTCCACAGGATGTGAACCGCAGAGACCAACAGAGGAATCCGGGCACCTCGACCACTCCCGCCCGGCCCAGTCCGGGGGGTGCCCAAGACACCGAGATGGTGCGTTTGTGAATGGCAGGGAGCAGGCAGGGTGGGGAGTCCTACACACTCCTGTCCGAGGCTATCCCCTTGGGCCTAGAGAAGTCTCCCACACGCATCCTGGGAACCTGGCTGGCGGTGGGAGGGGGGTGGACAGTGGAGGTAGGCTGGACGGGTTCTGAGCTGCCTGCACTCTCTTCCCCCAGGGCCCGTGCCGCAGACATCTGGACTCGGTGCTGCAGCAACTCCAGACCGAGGTGTACCGAGGGGCTCAGACCCTCTACGTGCCTAACTGTGACCATCGGGGCTTCTACCGGAAGCGGCAGGTGAGGCCCCCACCTCTCCTCCCCTCGGTCCCGTGGCACAAGGCTCCTACCAGGGATGGGGTGGGGGGAGTTTACAAAGGGGCACAAAGAGGGGCACCTGGGTGGCTCAGTCGGTTAAGCATCTGACTTCGGTTCAGGTTGTGATCTCACCGTTCGTGGGTGCAAGCCCCACCCTGTGCTCTCTGCTGTCAGCTCAGAGCCTGCTTCGGATCCTCTGTCCCCCTGTCTCTCTGCCCTGATCTCTCTCTGCCCCTCCCCAGCTCGTGCTCACTCTCTCTCTCAAAACAAAGAAACAAACAAACATTAAAAACAACAACAAAGGGGGCACAAAGAAGACACTGCCACTGCCTTTAATGATCCCCCAACTTTTAGGGCCCACAGAAACCTAGAGAATAGCCCCACGCTGTGGCAGAGGAGCCAGACTGCCTGACTCAGAGGTTCACATCTGCGAGGCGGCTCAGAGTCACGGAGGGCTGGGAACGCCCAGGTGGCTGAGCCCCTCTCAGCCCAAGAATTCGCGTTTCTAACACAGTGCCCGCTGCTGCTGCAGCTGTTGGTTTGGGAACCATGCTTTGAGAACTACTGTTCTGCCTAGAAGAATGGGCACCGTTTGGTGGGTGGAGAAGAGGAGAGCAAGAGAAAGGGACCCAGGTTGTCTCCTTGTCCTGAGAGCTCTCAGAGGTCTCTGCACATTCGGACTTGGGGCCCACAGCCCATCCCCCACCCACGGGCCCTCCCATCCCTCCTGCGGGAGCCTCAGTGCCGCACCTCTGATCCGTGTGCCTCTCTCCCCAGTGCCGCTCCTCCCAGGGCCAGCGCAGAGGTCCTTGCTGGTGTGTGGATCGGATGGGCCAGCCCCTGCCGGGGTCCCCAGAAGGCGAAGGAGGCTCCTCCTGTCCCACCGGGAGCAGCAGCGGCTAAGGCTGGGCAGGGGGCGGGGAGGGGGAGGCTGCAGGACCATTGGCAGGAGCACAGAGCTATCATCTTGGGTCATTTGTTGAGTGACGAGTAACTCGGGAGCCCTGAGCCCCACACTCCACCGTCAGGCCCTTTCCCAGTGTCCCCCTCACCCCTGGGACCCCACACATGGAAAGATGGTTGGTGTTGGCTTGGGATGTTAATAAAGCTGTGTTGGGGGTCTCTGGCCTACGTCTCTGGGTCCACCTTTCACATTTATGGAGCCCCTGCCCTTCTCTCTACCCGTCCCCCATAGCAGCTCTCCTTCCCCGTGGACTACCTTCTGTCTCTCCTGCTGCACTTGGGATGCAGGAGACAGCCATTGGCGGAGGTTTCCAGCCCTCAACCCTCACCCCAGTACCCACCAGGGAACGAGAGCAGGGGAGACATTGAGGCCATGAACTTGGTCTGAAGTTGTGACCTTGTTTCCAACAATCATCTTTGGACACAATGGGAGAAGGGAGAGAAAGGATTAATAGCTAATCCCCAGCAGAAGCCCAACAAAGAGGAAACTCTCGAAGCACTTATCCTTCTATTACATCCTACTAAAAAAGGGAAGGAAACTTTTTTTTTAATTTTTTTTTAACGTTTATTTATTTTTTTGGGACAGAGAGAGACAGAGCATGAACGGGGGAGGGGCAGAGAGAGAGGGAGACACAGAATCGGAAACAGGCTCCAGGCTCCGAGCCATCAGCCCAGAGCCCGACGCGGGGCTCGAACTCACGGACCGCGAGATCGTGACCTGGCTGAAGTCGGACGCTTAACCGACTGTGCCACCCAGGCGCCCCTGGAAATTCTTATTTACTAAGCCCTTCCCATGGGCCAGACCCTGGACCCTGTGTTTTTACCTGCACTACCTCATTCTGAGCTTACAATAACCTTGTGAGGGAGGAACTTTGGCCCCTGTTTTTCAGAGGAGGAAACTGTGGCTTAAAATATCTGGGTCGTTCGCCTGAAGTCACACAGCTGGTAAATGACAGAGGGAGGATTCAAATCTCGCTCTTCCTTCAGAGTGGTTTGTGACGATACCTGGTGTTCCCTAGGTGCTGAATAAGTGTTTGTTTTGCCCCCTTTCTGCCCACATGCTAATCCAAGCAGGTGTAGGGAAGAGCTGATTTGGGGGGAGGGGGTCCTGGCACCCAACACTTCCTGGAGGGGCCAGAACGCCACCTTGTCACAGAACATTAGTCACATCAGAACATTAATCACTTGCACACAGTGCTTTTGAGCTGACAAGGTTCTTTCCCACACCTTATCTCCTGGTCTAAGGGAGCCTAGTGCACTGATACCTAAAGATCCTTCAGGCTGCTGGGAAAGAGATCAGGCTGCTGGGAAAGAGATCGGCAGGCAAGTCATCCTATGTGATAAGCCTCAGAGAGGCAAAGTCCCCCTCCCCATGGACATACATAGGTACACACAGTGCACGGCCACTGTTCTGGTGGGAGGGATAGCTCGCTCAGCTGGGCATCTGGGCGGCCGGTAGGGCTGTTGGGGTGTTGCAACCCTCCCTGGGACAGCCAGCTGAGCCGAGCCTGTAGCTGAGAAGTGTTACCCTCTAGACCTGATAACCTATTGTGCTCCTGAAGGTCTCCTCCTCCTGAAAGGACTTTAGTCTTTGGAGCTGTCAGATGAACCGAGTGAGATAAGAGCTTGGCAGGCTGTGAAGGAAGGGAGGGAACACTCCATAGCCGCCTACTGCCCGGTCGAGACTCACACCATGGAGCCAAGGGCGGCCCGATCGCGGAAGGGAGAAGGGCCGAGAGGAGAGCAAGAGCGCCGACGCTCCGGAGGTGGTGAGGCACCCTCTGGGGGTGCAGAAAGCTCAGGGGGCGTTGGAGGTGGAGACGCATTGCTGCGGGGGAGGCTCCTACTCTCTTGGGAGGACAGGGGAGGCAGCCCCTGCCTCTGTCCCTCACTGCCCAGCCGGGAAAGGGAAGTGAAAGGGATATTCGGAGCGGGGGGGGGGGGGGCCCGTGCCTTATCTTGCAGACTCTTTCACCCCAGAGGGTGAATGGAGTAGCTTCCCAGTCCCGGATATTGTCATCCGGCTCCCAGTGGCGTCACCCCCTGCAAAAATGACTTCCCCTTCTGATCGCCTCACTGTGATACTACATATCGACTGGTTGGGGGCAGGGAGGCTGCTGAGCTTGCAGAAAGCATTTCCTGGAAAAAGGATGTTTCTGGGTCCGTACAAGGTCACAGAACCCTAACTCCCCCTCCCCCTTGGGTGTGCCCTTTGACCCTACCCCTAGGAAACATTGAGAAGGACAGAGGCCTGGACTTGGTGCAATGGACCCGACATATGGAGGTGAGGGAGGTCAGGGGTCAGACGTCAAGATGGACAGGTCTTGGGAGTGGAAGGAGACAGGGACGAAGACCAGCCTGGTGATAAAGACAATTTGTTCTTGGGTTCAAAACCTTTCAGATCAGGTTGGAGCCAACGGCTAAGATGGAGGGGGTTGGAATACAGGTCAGCAGGGCAGGGGCCAAGAGTCAGCCAGTGAACAGTCTTCTGTTAGTCGGGCTAAAGGTCAGCAGAGGGAAGGCTGGGGACAGGGGGAAGGGAGTAGGGTCAGAGACGACAAAGTGGTTGGGATCCAGGCCCTGGCGCTGGAAATGTCTTTCCTTGGTCCTCACTGCTGGTCTGGGAAGCCAGAGAGAGATAAATTTGGGGGGAGCCTCTCGGCAAGAACCGTGCCTGTTCATGTTTCTATCCCCAGCGCTTAGCAATGTGCCTGGCTCAGAGAGAAGAAGTTCAGTAGATATATGGAGAACCAGAGGATGGCTGCCCGGGTGGAGGGACATTGGGTCTTGCCCTGCTTTGCCCTGCAGGCTGTGAAGACACAGTTGCTGGAGCAAGCACAGGGACAGCTGATAGAGCTGCTGGATCGGGCCGTGCAGGAAGCCATCCAATGCTACCCACAACAAGGCGGACCCCTGTCCTCCATTCCTCCAGATTCCTTGAGCAAGTAAGAGTCTGAGGACCTGGGGGCTGGGGAATGGCTAGAGCGGGCTCCTCTAGCATAAGGGTCATGAACCCTAAATATCATCTCATACTTCCTTTGCCAGCACTGGCATGACCCCGACTTCAACCTTCCCTCTTTTGCTCGTATTGCCTCTGCCTGCCCAACACTGACCTCCACCTTTGGGGTCTTTTTCTGCCCTGGCCCTGACCTTCCACCTGCTCCTGCCCTCTGGCCCTGGCCCTGACCTACCTCTACTATTGCCTTTGGCTCCCAAGTATTGACCTTCTGCAAGGCCCTGCTCTCTACCCAGGGCCTTCTTCCTCTGGGTCCTGATCCAGAACAACTGTCTTCATTTAGGGCCCGGGAGCCATCCCTGGGGAAGCGGAAAATTTTCATCATCCGAAAGTCCCTGCTTGAGTAAGTCCACGTAAAGGGCAGGGGATGGAGGAAAAGAAAGGGATTCAGCGAGGGTTCCAGGACACCTCATTTCTCATCCTCGGGTTCTAGGTGTTTGGAGGGAAGACTTGGAGAAGGTTTCTAAAGTTTAGTCTCCCCATTTGCCCTGGGTGTGATCGGCCCAGCCTTTAGCTGGAAGTTCCCAATCACTAGTCCCCACCCCACCCCCACCCGCGTACAGTGTCTGAGCGGGGTCTGCGGGACCTCGAGGACCCTCCCACACTGACATTCGGGCCCCTGTCCCCCCAGCGAGCTGATGGAAGTACAGCATTTCCGCACCATCTACCACATGTTCATCGCCGGCTTGTGCGTCTTCATCATCAGCACCCTGGCCATCGACTTCATTGATGAGGGCAGGTAGGCGGCGGGGGCCCCGCGGCCCCCCCACCCATGCCTGGGACAGGCACGTGGATCACACCCCCTAGGTCCCTAGTGTTCCACTTGCCACTGGCTTAAGACAGCACAAGGCCTCCTTTGATCTTGTGATTCCTGGACCCATATCAACATTGCTTCCAGCAACATTCCCACCTAAAACGCACCTTGACTTCTTCCTTCCACAGCCTTTGGATGGCCCTTGCTCTGACCTTCCAGGTCAGCCACTCTGGGGACACTCTGTCGCCTGCTCAAATACTTCTCAGTAGGAAACTTGCCCCAAGGCAGATCCATGTAAGCTAGCAGGCTCGCTTCACACCACTCTCTCAAGTTCTTCCCAAGTTCAATCCAAGCAACCTTCATGGAGCACTTCCCAAGGACCCACCCTGGGAGCCAGAGAGATGACGGCCAGACCCCCTCCCTGTCTATGAGGCACTACCAGTCTTGGGGAGGGGGGAGACAGACATGCATGCAAACGCCCCCAAAGAGCACCCCCCCCCCCACGCTGGGGGTGAGCCTCAGAGGGCTCTGTAGCCCCAGGGGGTCTGTATTTGCACGTCCCCTACCTCACCCTAAGTAGAGTTTAGGAAGCAGTAAAAAGAAAAGGATCAAAGATCTGCAGGTTCTGCAACGTATTTCCTTCTGGTAAAACTGTTGTTAATTCTATGAGTGGTATAAGGATCAAATCTCAGTAAAAAGTCCAAATGCATGTCAAGGGACCGTCCTTCCCGACTACTCCCTCAACCCCAGACCGGATGTAAGGGTTTTCACAGGTTTCAGAGAGTCCCTCTAGAGCATTTGCCACGCATTCACCCCCACGTGTCTATAAGAACCAAGAAGCGGTGTGTAGAAAGTTTATATAAATAAGATATTCACTGTACTTCTTGATTTCATTCCTTAACAACCTATCTTCCTATCTCAGAGATCTTTCCAGGTCAGCCCACTGTTCTTAATGACTGTGGTCTGGAGGTGCCAGTCTTTTGCTCATTTGGTCCTTTACCAAGGGACACTTAGGTTGTTTCCAACTTTTCACCATTACAAGCCAAACACTCTTAACCTAAGCAAACAAAACACCTAACAACCTGCTTTCCACTAACTTGCGTCTGCAGCGACAGACGTTCCAAAAGAACAAAACTGACAAAAATCAAAGTTAAACTCTGAAAACCTCATATTCTAATGCCCACGGCATACAAAGTTCTGAGCCCTTCTGCAACACCGCAAAATTCAGAGGGCTCTAAAGGTCATTTGTAAGCAAACCCATCCCACAATCCAGTCTTTTCCAGCGACGCCCTGTGTTAGAAGTTTGGGACAATAGAGGTGCCATCTTGAACACCTTCAGATATGGGGAGCTGGAAATTCGGGCAAAATGCCTCAGTTTATTTCCCAAGAGTTCTGACTGCACAGGGAGGGGACAAAGTCGGGCCACACATTTGTCTACCTTGTCTCTTCCTCTCTACTCCAAGGCTGATGCTGGAGTTTGACCTACTGATCTTCAGCTTTGGACAGCTGCCCTTGGCGCTGATGACGTGGGTCCCCATGTTCCTGTCCACTCTGCTGGTGCCCTACCAGGCCCTGAGGCTGTGGGCGAGGCCCCGGGCAAGAGGGGCCTGGATGCTGGGGGTGGGCCTGGGCTGCATGATGCTGGCTGTCCACACCACCGTGCTCTGGGTCCTCCCCGTCCACGTGGCATTGAAGTATCAGCTCCCGCCTGCCTCCCGCTGTATCCTGGTCTTTGAGCAGGTAGGTGATGGGGTGATGGGCAGGCGAGGCTGGGGTAGGGCCCCTGTGGGGAAGGGGACTTGATACTACAGTATTGGTGGAGGCGGAGCTAGTTACTAAGGGCGGAGTCCATCTGGAAGGATTTGAGGGCACCAGCAGGAACCAAGGATATTTGCTGTTATGCAAAAGTAATCGGATTTTGCAAGGAGTCAGGGGGGTTGGCTGGTTGGAGGCTCCGCCCTGGCGTTTCCTGTACGTCTTTACTCCTGATTCATCCCAGCAGCTACCTGTGTTAGGTTAAAAGACTACCCGACAAAAAAATAAAGTATGGGCTTTGATCGTACAGATTTTGCAGTCCACCGGCCTCTCTCTTCGGTAAACAAGTGCACAGAGATGTTAAGTGATTTGCTCAAAGCCACACAGCAACTTAACCTCCCTTCCATTCCTTCTCAGGTCAGGCTCCTGATGAAGAGCTACTCCTTCTTGAGAGAGGCTGTGCCTGGAACCCTTTGTGCCAGAGGAGGTGAGGCACTGCTTTGAACTCAGTCATTTTGGCTGTTTGAATGAAGCCAGCCATACCAGGATTCTCACAAAAGCTCTGACTTCCTAAGCCTGTGTTGCTCCCAGGGCAGAATTCTGACCTCCAACTAGACTCTGTGGGCTTTAGTCATTAGGCATCCTCTGGTCCCACCTCTGAGATATGGTACCTCTGTGGCCCAGGACTTCTGGCGCTTTCCAATTTCCAGGCTTAGCCTGGAAAGACCCAGAGTATGAGAGCCTCATATTAGCAAGTCAGGAGGTACCAGGATGACCGAGTGGTTAAGTGTTGGACTTAAGATCTGATGGACGTATATCCTGGCTCTGTCGGCAGAGCATGTGACTCTTGATCTCAGGGTCATGGGTTCGAGCCCCACGTTGGGTGTACAAATTACTTAAAAATAAAATCTTTTTAAAAATGTGGTGGGGAGGGGCACCTGGGTGGCGCAGTCGGTTAAGCGTCCGACTTCAGCCAGGTCACGATCTCGCTGTCCGTGAGTTCGAGCCCCGCGTCGGGCTCTGGGCTGATGGCTCAGAGCCTGGAGCCTGTTTCTGATTCTGTGTCTCCCTCTCTCTCTGCCCCTCCCCCGTTCATGCTCTGTCTCTCTCTGTCCCAAAAATAAATAAACGTTGAAAAAAAAAATAAAAATGTGGTGGGGGAGTCAGAGCAGAAGGAGAGAAAGAATGGGTGGTGGAGCTTATAAATGCCAAATGAAACTCTGGCCACAGCAGGTGCTGCACCAGAAAGTAGGGTGCCTAGAATGGAAGCAAAAGAAGGGCAACCAAAGAGCAGCTTCAGCTCCTGCCTAGTCTCACCTTCCCGACTGCACCTCCAGACCCAAAGTCGGGTCCCTCCCACTCCACCCCCCCCCCCCACCGCACCTCTGCCCCATCCAGGCCTCCACCCACCAGTCCCAGCCTCCACTCCCCCTGCCCTCTCTCCTTCCCCACTTCACTGATCCAAGCCCTCTCCTTCCTCCCCAGGTGAGGGCATGCGGGCCCCCAGTTTCTCCAGCTACCTCTACTTCCTCTTCTGCCCAACACTAATCTACAGGGAGACTTACCCCAGGTAAGACCCTGCTCCTCTTTCCCAAATGCCCAGACCCATCAGGGACCTTGCCTTCTACTTTCCATTCTCTGAGGCCTGTAGCCTCAGGCACTGACCACGGTCTCAGGAAGCATCCCATAATAAAAATGGGAAATAGGTGTCAGACAGACTACGCCTTCTCCAAGCACAACCCACAAGGGTGGCCAACTGTCCTGGGTTGGCCCTGGGCTGTCCCAGTGTTAGCACTGAAAATCCTGCACCCTGGGAAACCCATCGGTCTGGAGCAACCTCCCGATGGTTGCACTTTAGTTGACCTTCAAGTTAAAAATCCATTTGCCATGTCTACTGGGGAAGGTCCAAAGTGTTCTAGACCCTTGCCTGCCTAGATAATCCTCCCAGGCCCGAGCAATTGAGGGAGCTTCGGAGAGAGGGCCCTAGAACCTGTGTACCAGTGGGTATGGAACAAGCTAAAAGATAAAAAGACTAAAAACATATTGTCCCCATTGCTGCTGCAGGACACCCAACGTCAGGTGGAATTACGTGGCCAAGAACTTTGCCCAGGTCAGAAGATGGGGTAGAAATGTGACTTGTGGTGACTGAGTGGGGCATTTCTGGAAGTGGGGTCCGGGAGGCCTGGGGAGGAGGTCAGAGGGTGGGGCTAAGGTAAGAGGAGGCAGGTGCTGGGCCAGAATCCGGTTCCAGAGTCGAGGGGGCAGCTGCTAGTGACCCCTGTCAAAGTTATGTACCCCCCACCCACCGCCCCCCAGGCTCTGGGCTGCGTACTCTATGCCTGCTTCATCCTGGGCCGCCTCTGCGTTCCCGTCTTTGCCAACATGAGCCGGGAGCCCTTCAGTACCCGGGCTCTGGTGCTGTCTATCATGCACGCCACCTTGCCAGGTATGCCCACCGAAGGCAGGGCTGGGGAGGGCTGCACCCTGGGAAGGCTTAGCGGGGGGCTCCTCCCTCCCCTCACTCCTTTCCTTCAGCCAGATTCAACACCTCCTGCCTCAGAAACCTCTCCCACATGTGTCCCTCGCCTCCTCATTGCTCCATTGCTAGGGTCTCAGTTCATTCAGATGGCCACTCCACTGCCTCTTTCCACATCAGCCTCCTCGCCTGCCTGCTTTCCCTCTCAATCTTCCCACCTTCCCCTGACACTGCTGCCCAGATGAACTTCCCTCCTACAGGTTAATCATTCCCTACTCTGCTTCCAAAACTCCAGTCACTCCCCATTGCTGGCATCTCCAGATAAGATTTGACCCCTTGGCCTGGCATTCAAGACCCCTTCCCCGACAGCCTAGCCTATCTTCTCGTCCTGCCACAAGCTCAGCCATTCCTTGAAAGACATGTACTTTCATGCCTCCGGGCTTTTGCTCATACTGGGGTCTCAGCTTGGAATGACCTTTCCCCATTTTCCAGCTGTGAACTCCAGTCTGTTTCTGGAGGCCCATAACAAAGATGCCCCCTCCTCTAGGAAGCCTGTCAGTTTTAGCCATCAGTCACTATGACCCACCCCTTGCTCTGCATTCCCAAGCACCTCAATAGCCACCCGTGCTTAGCTCCCAGCACATTTGACCTTGACGCATGGTTGGACTTGTCTCTGTCCCGATCTCTGCCTCTGTCTCTCTCTCTCTTTCTCTCTCTCCAACCACTCTGTGAACTGCCAATGGCCAGGGCTTTGAGATTCATCTGTGCATCCCCGACATGTGGCTTGGAGTTCATGAGCAGATGGATGGATTAATGAATGTAAGGGGCGCCTGGGTGGCGCAGTCGGTTAAGCGTCCGACTTCAGCCAGGTCACGATCTCGCGGCCCGTGGGTTCGAGCCCCGCATCAGGCTCTGGGCTGATGGCTCAGAGCCTGGAGCCTGTTTCCGATTCTGTGTCTCCCTCTCTCTCTGCCCCTCCCCCGTTCATGCTCTGTCTCTCTCTGTCCCAAAAATAAATAAACGTTGAAAAAAAAAATTAAAAAAAAAAATGAATGTAAGAATTTGTGAGTGACAAATAACTGGCTGGAAGGAGTTGGGGCCCTGGTTGCTGATGAGGACCCCTCAGGGCTTCCCAAGGGAGCCAGGTGGGCAGTCTGACATGCAGCCCTTGTCCCCACTCACCAGGCATCTTCATGCTGCTGCTCATCTTCTTTGCCTTCCTCCACTGCTGGCTCAACGCCTTCGCAGAGATGCTACGGTTTGGAGACAGAATGTTCTATCGGGTGGGGCCTGGACCTGGCCACTTGGGAGCTGGGTGCAGGGAGGTCTGGGGAGCGATCTGGGGAGGATGATGGCTCCATTGGGTGTCACCTCAGCTGTGCTGTCAAGCTCTCACGTGAGAAATGCGCTCCTCTGGGTGTGGCTCTAATGCCACCTGTCCACCTCTTGACTAGCCAGGGCTAACTGCTTCTGTGCGCATGGTACACTGGAACCATCTTCTCCTGGAAGGGGATGAAGGAGGGAGTGTGGGCCTCAGGTCCTGAAGAGACTGCAGGGAAAGTTCTTGCTGTCCCTCTTCAGCCAGGGCCCAGCCCCTTGTGGAAGAAAATTGGGATAGGGTGCAGGGAGCAAGGGGGAGCCACTGGGGCCTGGGAAGAGTCAGGGCCCTGATGCTCACCTCCTTCCCCTAACCCTGACCCACTCTTCCCCAGGACTGGTGGAATTCAACGTCCTTCTCCAACTACTACCGCACTTGGAACGTGGTGGTCCATGACTGGCTGTACAGCTACGTCTATCAAGATGGGCTGTGGGTATGGGCTCTGCAGACCCCCTCAACTCCCACAGTTAATGTAGCCTCCCCAGAACATTCTCCTTCCCTTCCTCTGCATCATCCGCCTTTTCCAGACCTAGGGGCCCCCTGGACTTTCATCTGCTCCTTTCTACCCAACCCAGTGGGCAGAAAATCCTTCTTAGGATCTAACTTCCTTCCCTCTTTACTCCTAACCCCACCCCTCCACAGAGCACTTCTCTCCTCCTTAGACTTCTGAGAAACATGCATGTAGCAATTCTCAGTTACCAAGGCTTTTCACATACATAATCTGCACTGTAATCCTGAGAAGTAAGTATTCTTATGTCCCCTTTAAAAAATTGCATGTAAGGCCCAAAGAACTTAAGTAGGACGTATCACCCCTTGAGACCCCCAAATCTCATATTCTTTCCATTGTACTGTATACTTTCTGGCTTCCTTAAGGAGGGGACTCTTTGTGGAAGAGTCTTAGAGAGACTCATTCCACCCTTCTCCCCCATCCCCTGCCAGCTTCTCGGTGGCCGGGCCCGAGGGGCAGCCATGTTGGGTGTGTTCCTGGTTTCTGCAGTGGTCCATGAGTACATCTTCTGCTTTGTCCTGGGATTCTTCTACCCGGTCATGCTCATGCTCTTCCTTGTCTTTGGAGGTGAGCTTGGCCTCTGTGTGCCACTGGAGGGGGAGCCATCCAGAGGGAGGAGGCCAGGAGTCCTGCTCCTGCAGATTCCAGATGGATGGGGGAGGCCACATACCCTTCTGGGAAGAGGCATGAAAGTTGGGGTGGGGAGGAACTTAGGAACAGGGAGGGAAGCAGCAGGAGGTATCCTGGGGGATGTGAGAGATGATTTCTGGCTGGAGTGGAGCATCTGAGCAGGGCACACATAGAGGGAGACAAAGGAGAGAAAACTGGCATGAGGCTGGGAGGTTTAGTATGAGATCCAGGATATTGATGTGTAAACTGAGGAATCCTGGTTTTACATGAGCCGCTCGAGACCTCCATGGGTTGCCGGAGCTGGGCTCAAGATCTTCCTCAATGATGCCTTCCTGTTCCATCTCTTCCCAGTACCCTGGGATGGGGGGGGTGGGGGGCATCCAGGGAGACAAGGCACTGGAATTGGGGTAACAACCTTTCCTCCTGCATCAGGGCTGCTGAACTTCATGATGCATGACCGGCACACAGGCCCAGCATGGAATGTGCTAATGTGGACCTTGCTCTTTCTGGGCCAAGGCATCCAAGTCAGCCTGTACTGCCAGGAATGGTATGCACGGCGACACTGCCCCCTACCCCAGGTAAGGGACCACCGCCCTCCCTCAGCTCCCCATCCAGAAGGACACACCTCCCCTCTCCAAGAGCCAGCCCCCTGTTCTTGCCCAATTCAATAGCCATGGTCAGGGGCTAGGCCTGGTTTGGGGGTGATGGGCTCCCTTGTCTTGGACGCGTAGGGTGGGGACAGGAGGGACTCACGCATAATTCACCTTTCTCTGGCACAGACAACCTTCTGGGGGCTGGTGACACCTCGATCTTGGTCCTGCCATACCTAGAAGTCAGAGCACTGTCACTGCCCAGAGGACGCCACCAAGTCCTTCTCTGCCTGCAAAGCCTTGGACCAGAGCACCTCTCCCTGCATTCCTAGATCTAGCTCCAAGTCAAGGGGGCCTGGCAGGCATGACCCCAGCAGGGAATGCCAGGGACTGAGATCTGAGGACCTGTAGAACCGCTAAGCACAAACTCACTGTGGTCGTGGCTCTTGAGCCGCCAAGCCCCACGGATTGGGCACAGAGCCCCCTCCTACCTCATCACTGTCCAGACTTGGGGATACTTGAAGGATCTTATAGATTTGGTGAATGTGGGGTGACTTAGAGAAATGAGGGCCATCAAGGTCTGAGAAAGGTTTGAACTGCTTCCAATACAATAATAAAGTTTGTATCCCTTTTTATTCATTCATTTGTTTATTCCTCCCTTCATTATTTGTTGAAGGCCCACATTGGACAGGCACGATTGAAGAGCTGTGTCTACAGCAGCAAGACTTTGTGCTGGAAGGGGCTGAAAGGGGCTGGAAGGGGCTGGAAGGTGGCATCTTGCCTCGCCTTTCCGGTGCCTTGCCCCTCCCCAAAACCCAACCTCACCTTCCTCCCACCTCTTCCTTCCTCAGTTCATGTTTCCACACCCCTTAATCCTTCTACTCCTAGCAACCTCTAGCACATTTGGAAAGGGCACATAGCAGGCCTCCTTTCCCTCCACAGACCCAGGAGACGAACTGTCCGTATAGACCTTACACAAGTATTTTCATTTCGTGAGCCACAGTATCCACCGCTATAAAGTGGACCTTAAAACGAAGAGTGTCCTGACTGTATGGGTTCAGAAGGTCAAAATATTCACGTTCACAACCATCCCAGAAGCCAGACTTTGTAGTCACTCTAAGGAGAGGATCTTTTTTTCTAATTTTTAAATTAAATTTAATTTTTAAAATGATAGCCTGAGGTTTTTTTTTTTTTAATGCTTATTTACTTATTTTAGAGAGAGAGAGAGAGAGAAGGAGAGAGAGAATCCCAAGCAGGCTCCATGCTGCTAGTGCAGAGCCCAACATAGGGCTTGAACTCATGAAACCTCGAGATCATGACCTGAGCCAAAACTAGAGTTGTATGCTTAACCGACTGAGCCACCCAGGTGCCCCTTGGTTTCATTTCTTATATCATCTTGTGTGTTCTTTTTTTTTTAAATTTTTAACATTTATTTATTTTTGAGAGACAGACCATGAGTGAGGGAGGGATAGAGAGAGAAGGGGGGGACACAGAATCCAAAGCAGGCTCCAGGATCTGAGCTGTCAACAGAGCCCGAACTCATGGACCACGAGATCATGACCTGAGCCAAAGCCGGACGTTCAACCGACTGAGCCACGCAGGCGCCCCTTGTCTTGTATGCTCTTTAATCATTCCATAGCAAGTTGCTGCTATCCGTTCCCCTTTCCCTGCTCCCTTGTTATTTTGGAAGTTCTACTAAACCTTTCCATTCCCTTGATAGTTGCCTTCTTTCCCAGCACTGATGATCCAATACCTACTTCATTACCATCATTTTTAATATGCCAATTGTTTCTTCCATTAAGATGTTTTATTTCCTGCCAGATGTTTTATTTTCTACCCCAGTAAGAGAGACCTTTAGAATGCTTTTACTGTGCTTTCTTATTGTGCTTCCAATTCCTAGGTTTGGCTGAGGTAGCACAGTACTTATGTTCCTAGATATAATTAGGTGTCTGTCAAGCTCCATGAACATTTAACAGTATGATATTTTGCCAACTTTCTTGCTCACTGCAGGGTTTTCTCCTCCCCTTCATCTTCCTCTACCTTGACTTCTCTATTCCCTAACCAAATTTTTTCTTAAGTATTTTCCTCAGGTGAGACAGGAGATTGATATACTCTTTGAATCATCTATAGCTCCAAATATCTTTCTTTTGCTCTGACAAGTGAAAGCTTTCCAGCTGGGGATGAGGTCCCTGGGCAACCGTTCTTTTCTCTCACTGTCCCCACGTTAGTTAGCTTCCAGTGCTGCCGATGAAGAGTCCCCGGTCAATTGGATTCTTTTCCCTTTGTACAGAACTTGCTCTTTCTGTCTAGAAACTTGAAAATGTTTTTCTTTAATCTTGGAATTCAGGAGTTTCATGCTTAGATGTCTGTCTTTTCTTTCTTTTTTCTTTTCTTTCTTTTTTTTTTTTTTTTTTTTTTTTTTTGGTCTTCCTGTGCCCTTTTGGTCTACAAGCGCAGATCTTTCTTTCAAGTCACTGAAATATTCTTCTATTTTTAAATTATTGCCTCTCTTCCATCTATGCCTTTTCACTCTTTTGGAGCTAATATATTTGAATGTTAGGACTACTGGAGCTATTCTCCAAGTCTCATGTTTTCCTCGCTATTTCCATCTCTTCGTATTATTTGCTCCATGCTTTGAAATATTTTTTCCACTTGTTCTTCCAAGCCACTAATTTGAGTCTCAGAAGTGACCAGACTTCTCTCTTTCAATACATATACTGACTTTGTTTTGTTGAAAAAATGTTTCTTTAGTTCCAGAAAGGTTTTTGTTTTTTTGTTTTTGTTTTGTTGTTGTTGTTGTTGTTGTTGTTGTTGTTTGGTACACTACTTGAATCTCTTTAAGTGCTCCTGGTATTTTCTTAAGTTGTCTTATAACTCTTCAGTGGTCCCTATGCTGTCTGGTAGGCAGGAAAACCACCTATGATGACCTCATCCCTGTAAAGTCAAGGCCCTCTGAGTCATGTTCTTTCAAGATCGCCCATGGTCCTGACCTCAGCACAGGGGCTCTCCAAAGCCAGTCTCCAGACTCCTGTGTGGTGAAAATGAAGAAGCTCTTCGCCAGGTCTCCCCACATTAGGCCTTCATTTCACTAACTTGAACTTCAAGCCCTCACTTGCACATCTTGCCCCTGGGCCCAGCAGCAAGATGGCTTAGGAGAGGCATGTGTTTGGAGATGGGAGTGGAAATTCCCTTAGAACTGGAGCATACATTAGAATCACCTCCAGAACTTGCTAGTAGAGACAGTTGAGCCCGGCCGCAGAAGTTTCTGATTCATTCATCTAGGTGGCTAAGAGTTAGCACTGCTAACCGATCCCCAAGGAGTGTTGGCACTGCTGGTCTGGGAACCACACTTTGAGAAACACTGCATTAGCGTACACCAAACCAGGGGCATCTGGGTGGCTCAGTCGGTTGAGTGTCCAACCTCAGCTCAGGTCATGATCTTGCAGTTCATGAGTTCGAGCCCTGTGTCAGGCTCTGTGCTGACAGCTCAGAGCCGGGAGCCTGCTCTGGATTCTGTGTCTCCCTCTCTCTCTGCTCCTCCCCCATCCATGCTGTCTCTCTCTCAAAAGTAAATAAACATTAAAATTTTTTTTTTAGAATACACAAAACCGAGCTGTCCTTCTTCTTCA